GGATCCACCATGGGATCCACCAGTTTCAGTCCCCAGTGTTGGGTTTCAGTTCCCAAAGTTGGGAGTTCATCCTCTTTTGAGGGCCTAATTAGGAGGTCAAACCACATCCCTCAGCCATCCTGGGCACAGCAGGATGGGTGGGAATTCCTGAGCGTTGAAGTGAAGGTGTAGATCCACCATGGGACCTGCCAGTTTCAGTTCTCAGTGTTGAGTTCAGTTCCCAATGTTGGATTTCCTTTCCCAATGTTGTGGGTTCATCCCATGTTGATCCCACAGCCCAGTTAGGAGGTGGCACCATGTTCCTTACTGGTCACAACGGAATTGGTGGGAATTCCTGAGGGTTGAAGTGAAGCTGTAGATCCACCGTGGGATCCACCAGTTTCAGTTCCCAAAGTTGGGGCTTCATCCCATGTTGAGGTCACAGCCCAGTTAGGAGGAGACACCACATCCCTCAGCCATCCTGGGCACAGCAGGATGGGTGGGAATACCCGAGGGTTGAAGTGAAGGTGTGGATCCATCATTGGATCCACCAGTTTCAATTCCCAGTGGTGGGTTCAGTTCCCAATGTTGGATTTCCTTTCCCAATGTTGTGGGGTCATCCCATGTTGATCCCACAGCCCAGTTAGGAGGTGGCACCATGTTCCCTAACTATTCTGGTCACAATGGAATTGGTGGGAATTCCTGAGGGTTGAAGTGAAGGTGTGGATCCACCACTGGATCCACCAGTTTCAGTTCCCAGTGTTAGGTTCAGTTCCCAATGTTGGGTTTCCTTTCCCAATGTTGTGGGTTCATCCCATGTTGATCCCACAGCCTGGTTAGGAGGTGGCACCGTGTCCCTCAGCCATCCTGANCCCGAGGGCCCGAGCCAGCCCGTGGCTGCTCTGGGCAGGACACGTAAGAGCTGGGTGGGCCCTTTTGTCCCCACTCTTGTTGGTCACTTTTGTCCCCAGCTGTCCTGTCCCCACATCAGAGTTGGTGCCCTCATGCACCAGAACCTTCCCAGTTCCATCCCAACTCTTCCCTCGTGGACATTCCCTCAGTGCCATCCTAAAGTTTGGGGGGAATCGTTTTCCCTCCTGTTTTGCACCCACACTTCACAAGGTTATTTGGCCCCAAAGAGGGGACAGGGACAGATTGGAATGTTCTCCCTCTGGTTTATGAGATGCCCTCAGCCCCTGGGCAGAAGCTCCTGGAAATCCATCTCAGGGAATCATTAAGGCTGGAAAAACCCTCTGAGATCCCTGAATCCAACTGTCCCCAGCACCAGGATCTTCCCAATTCCATCCTAACTCTTCCCTCATGGACATTCCCTCAATGCCATCCTAAATTTTGGGGAAATGTGGGAGTTTGTTTCCCTCTTGTTTTGCACCCACACTTCACAAGGTTATTTGGCCCCAAAGAGGGGACAGGGACAGATTGGAATGTTCTCCCTCTGCTTTATGAGATGCCCTCAGCCCCTGGGCAGGAGCTCCTGGAAATCCCTCTCTTGGCATCATTAAGGCTGGAAAAACCCTCTGAGATCCCCAAATCCAACCGTCCCCAGCACTCAGAGTTGGTGCCCTCATGCACCAGAACCTTCCCAATTCCATCCTAACTCTTCCCTCATGGACATGAACATCCTCAGTGCCATCCTAAAGTTTTGAGGGAATCGTTTTCCCTCCTCTTTTGCACCCACATTTCACAAGGTTGGTGCTTGGAGATGTTTGGTCCTGGACAGTCACAGGTTGGAATGTTCTCCCTCTGGTTTATGAGATGCCCTCAGCCCCTGGGCAGGAGCTCCTGGAAATCCCTCTCAGGGAATCATTAAGGCTGCAAAAACCCTCTGAGATCCCTGAATCCAACCATCCCCACCTCAGTGTTGGTGCCCTCATGCACCAGAACCTTCCCAATTCCATCCCAACTCTTCCCTCATGGACATGGACATCCTCAGTGCCATCCTAAAGTTTTGAGGGAATCGTTTTCCCTCCTGTTTTGCACCCACATTTCACAAGGTTGGTGCTTGGAGATGTTTTCATCCTGGACAGTCACAGGTTGGGATGTTCTAGCCCTGGTTTATGAGATGCTCTCAATCCCTGGGCAGGAGCTCCTGGAAATCCCTCTCTTGGAATCATTAAGGCTGGAAAAACCCTCTGAGATCCCTGAATCCAACCGTCCCCAGCACCAGGATCTTCCCAATTCCATCCCAACTCTTCCCTTATGGACATCCTCAATGCCATCCTAAAGTCTGGGGGAATGTGGGAGATCGTTTCCCTCCTGTTTTGCACCCACAAAGGTTGCAGGGGATGTTTGGTCCTGGACAGTCACAGGTTGGGATGTTCTCCCTCTGGTTTATGAGATGCNTTTCCCTCCTGTTTTGCACCCACAAAGGTTGCAGGGGATGTTTGGTCCTGGACAGTCACAGGTTGGGATGTTCTCCCTCTGGTTTATGAGATGCCTTCAGCCCCTGGGCAGGAGCTCCTGGAAATCCCTCTCAGGGAATCATTAAGGCTGCAAAAACCCTCTGAGATCCCTGAATCTAACCATCCCCACCTCAGTGTTGGTGCCCTCGTGCACCAGGATCTTCCCAATTCCATCCTAACTCTTCCCTCACAGACATGGACATCCCTCAATGCCATCCTAAAGTTTTGGGGGAATCGTTTTCCCTCCTGTTTTGCACCCACACTTCACAAGGTTGTTTGGTCCCAAAGAGGGGACAGGGACAGATTGGAATGTTCTCCCTCTGGTTCATGAGATGCCCTCAGCCCCTGGGCAGGAGCTCCTGGAAATCCCTCTCAGGGAATCATTAAGGCTGGAAAAACCCTCTGAGATCCCCAAATCCAACCGTCCCCAGCACCAGGATCTTCCCAATTCCATCCTAACTCTTCCCTCATGGACATTCCCTCAATGCCATCCTAAAGTTTTGGGGGAATCGTTTTCCCTCCTGTTTTCCCCCCACATTTCACAAGGTTGGTGCTTGGAGATGTTTGGTCCTGGATAGTCACAGGTTGGGATGTTCTCCCTCTGGTTTATGAGATGCCCTCAGCCCCTGGGCAGGAGCTCCTGGAAATCCCTCTCTTGGAATCATTAAGGCCACAAAAACCCTCTGAGATCCCTGAATCCAACTGTCCCCAGCACCAGAACCTTCCCAATTCCATCCCAACTCTTCCCTCATGGACATTCCCTCAATGCCATCTTAAAGTTTGGGGAAATGTGGGAGTTTGTTTCCCTCCTGTTTTGCACCCACACTTCACAAGGTTGTTTGGTCCCAAAGAGGGGACAGGGACAGATTGGAATGTTCTCCCTCTGGTTTATGAGATGCCCTCAGCCCCTGGGCAGGAGCTCCTGGAAATCCCTCTCTTGGAATCATTAAGGCTGCAAAAACCCTCTGAGATCCCTAAATCCAACTGTCCCCAGCACCAGGATCTTCCCAATTCCATCCCAACTCTTCCCTCGTGGACATGGACATCCTCAGTGCCATCCTAAAGTTTTGGGGGAATCGTTTTCCCTCCTGTTTTGCACCCACATTTCACAAGGTTGGTGCTTGGGGATGTTTGGTCCTGGACAGTCACAGGTTGGGATGTTCTCCCTCTGGTTTATGAGATGCCCTCAGCCCCTGGGCAGGAGCTCCTGGAAATCCCTCTCTTGGCCTCATTAAGGCTGCAAAAACCCTCTGAGATCCCCAAATCCAACCGTCCCCACCTCAGTGTTGGTGCCCTCGTGCACCAGGATCTTCCCAGTTCCATCCCAACTCTTCCCTCATGGACATGGGCATCCTCAATGCCATCCTAAAGTTTTGGGGGAATCGTTTTCTCTCCTGTTTTCCCCCCACACTTCACAAGGTTGTTTGGTCCCAAAGAGGGGACAGGGACAGGTTGGGATGTTCTCCCTCTGGTTCATGAGATGCCTTCAGCCCCTGGGCAGGAGCTCCTGGAAATTCCTCTCTTGGCATCATTAAGGCTGGAAAAACCCTCTGAATCCAATTATCCCCAGCCATGTCCCCAAGTGCCACATGCACGTGGCTTTGAAATCTCTCCAGGGATGTGACTCTACCGCTGCCCTGGGCAGCTCTTCCAGTGCCTGACCATCCTTTCCATCAAGATATTTTTTCCAAAATCCAACCTGAACCTCTCCTGGTGCAGCTTGAGGCCATTCCCTCGTGTCCTGCCCCTCATTCCGTGGGAGCAGAGCCCAGTCCCACCCACCCACCTCCCTTCAGGTGNCCCTGCGACATCCGGAATTGTTTGTCTTCCTGAGGGAAGGTCTCTGACAGGATGAATAAATAAAGCTCCTCAATGAGGTTTGGCTCATCTGTACCTGCCAGCAAGAAGATGGAACGTCTTTATGGGTGGAAATAAAGCCATTTGATCTCTCCTCTTATCATCCCCAACACGGAGCCAGAGGCAGGAGCCATAAATCCGCCTGCTGTGGATCCAAACGGGCTCCTCTCCCTTGGAATTGTGGCCGTGGGAGCAAAGCAGGCTTTGATTCACGGCTCTGGTTCCTGCTCAGTCTGCAAGAAATGAGGAGTTTCCCCTGCCGTGGGGAGATTTCTGATCCCAGCAGCATTCCCAGAGAAAACTCCCAAACTTTCAGGCCTGGGATGTTTCATCCCTATTTTCAAGTGGCAGGAGGGAGATTGTTGATTTTAAGGAACCACATTTGGTGCTTCTCCTCTTTGTGTCTCTCTGCCCCTGAGGACAAAAGATTTTTCCAAGGATTTTTCCCATTATTCCAGCACTTCCAGCTCCATTTCTGCCCTATTTTTGTGTCCCCAAAGCTCCCGTGCCTCCAGTCACCAATTTCCGTGTGATAGAAGAAGGACTTTTCAGCCTCAGGGTGGCTTGGACACCTCCCCTGGGCAAGCTGGAGGGCTACAAGATCTACATCCCCAGGGGTGAGTTTTGTTAATTTTTTATTAATTTTAGTTCAATTTTTAGTTGATTTTTCTTGTTTTTTTCTTGATGTTTGCTTTAAAAGGAGCAGTGATCCAAGGGCAGGGAAGGTGCTGTAAACTCCTGGCACGACTCTGGAAAAAGTCCAGGATAGACATTTCCAAATATTGTGGTTCTTCCAGGATGGAGGAGACTCCTTGGAAAGACTTTTCCTTGGAAGAACAAGCTGAGGATGATGCTGTGAATTCCTTGTTTGCCCTGGCACATCCAGATGTTTTTCCCTCTCGAGTACCTGCTCTGGTGGGATTTGGGATGAGTTTGGGATGCCTCCCACTCCTCACTGTGGGATCTGAGGGCTGGCACAGCACAGCCAGAATTCCACTACATGGATTGGGAGATTCCAACCACACCCCTGAGCCACCTCCATGGTGTGAAGACCTCCCTGGTGGGATTTATCCTCATGGGGATCCTTCACCATCCCTTTTCCCCTTGATTTTGCAGCCAACAAGCCCGGGGTGACCCTCGAGCAGATCCTGCGGGGCGATGTCTCTTCCCACCTGCTGGAAAACCTGCAGGAGGACAGGGAATACAGCATCAGCATCTACGCCGTGTATCCCGAGGGCCCGAGCCAGCCCGTGGCTGCTCTGGGCAGGACACGTAAGAGCTGGGTGGGCCCTTTTGTCCCCACTCTTGTTGGTCACTTTTGTCC